TCCGTTCTCTTGGATCGACGACAGAGGCAGAGTGCCGAGGCAGAGTGCCATGTGTGAGGCGTTCGGTTTTGCCTTGAGGCCAACTTACCCCAGGGCAGGGGGTAGATGACAGCCGGGCACATGGGCTAATGCGCCGCGGTGGGGCAAAGGCTGGATTTTCTGCGACCTTGGATCGTGTTGTCCGGGCCAGACTTCCAGGTTCCGAACAAACAAGGGAGGCCGTCCGTTCTCGGGACATGGCTGTGTTATTGAGCAGAGAACCTTGCTTGGTTTGCTGTTCGGTTGTGTTTGTCACGAGTGCCAACATGTTCAGAATGGGGTTTGGTGTATGGCGGCTCTGTCCGTCCACACCTTTGGCGTGGCCTTACCGACGAGAAGCCCGGGCGCACCTCAGGCTGTCTCGACACATCGTTGGCCGGGTGTGGGGCATGTGTTCCTGCCGGCCGCCGACGTTATCCTTCTGAGGCCAACGTGCTGTGCGCCAGCACATGACAGCAAGACGATGGGCTAAAGTGCTTGCTGGGGGATAATTATATGGCTCGCCTCGCCCGACAGATCTAGGACGGTTGGATCTGCGCGAAAGGCAGTTATTCGGGGCGGGAGGCCGACGTACACGAGTAGATGGAAGGTCTCAAGAACCAGGACGAACGCAGCGACCTGCATGGTTCCTTGGTGATTTGATATGGAGTAGAATGTTGTTTTGTTAACCAGTTGTTTAAGATTAGTGAATTCTTTGTCACACCGACCTTACCAACAAGTCGCGGTGTCTCCAGTTTTGATTCACCAGCCGCGCTTGCATGCCGATGGCCGGGCATGGGACGCTAAACCCAACTGCCAGGACACGTCTCTCTCGCAATGGGACGGAGACGTGTCCTGGCAGTTCGGTCCGCGGAAGACGGAACCGAGGACTTGTGGCCTGTGGCCAACCACCAGAGCGGACATCTGGTGATGACAGCCAGGCACATGGGCTAACGTGCTGGCTGGGTCCGAGCTCGGCACCCGAGTGTCCCCCTCAGCAACATGGGAGGCCGAATATCGAGCAGTAGTAAAGTAATTAATTAATTAAGTCCGGTTGTGATGATATTTATGAAAGGCAGAGTGCCAGTAAAACTTCTACAGTAATTTATGCCATGTGTAGAGTTTGGCAGGCTTGGGTGCACATGTATCATCTGCGATCGATATCATGCCTTTTGGTTCAAGCCTTGGCAGTTGAGCCAAAAAGGCAGGATTTTGTTGCCATTAGTCTGCGGTGGTGTCCCGCTTATTATGGCAGATGCTTTTGAGCAGGGGTCTCCTGCGTTCTTCGCATATGTGTTCAGCCGCTTTGCTGTTCACACTGAGGCCCAGGTGTTGCACCCAGCGGCCATGTTGGATATCAGGGCTCAGCTTCGGTACTTGGTTTCCGAGGGTCGGAACGAGGATGCTGCCAGGCTGTGGGCTTCAGCCCTCGAGATCCAGCATTACCCTCCCCCCCCTCCGCTACTTGAGGGGTTGCCTCCAGGTCTGCCACCTATCCGCACGATCCCGTGTGTCGTCACGGACTGTGCCCGGTGCGCCCAGAGCCGGGGAGGGTTCCAGCTTCCGTTCGTGGGTACATTTACACATGCAGCAACAATCGTTCGTCCAGGGAGTGACCCGGCTCAAGCGTGGAGTGATTACCATGCATGTCGCTCCTATCTGTCGGCTGGCGACGTCACGGCCCTTCATTCTGGGCTTTGGCCAACAGATTTGCTGCCGAACCACCTCTACGCGCTTTTCCGGCGGGTGGCGGATCAGTCCCACCCCCGAGCGGCTTCTTCAGGCGAGCTGTGGCTGGTATTCCGACATTGGCAGGCCGGCAGCCGCGTCTGGCTTGAACCCGGGCAGGGAGTTCCATCCTGGGAGGCTGGCCGGGCAGATGCCAGAGACAGGGCCCACAGGACGTTGTGGTTATGGCTTGGGGCCGTGGCTTATGGACCGGGCCTTTTGCCCGCGGCCTGTCGCAGCTGCGGCGCTCCGACAGCATTGGGTGCGCGTGAGGACGGACAGTCTCGGAAGGGGCGTTCCCTTTCTTCCTTCTGGCGGGAGCCAGCGGTTGCGGAGTCGACCGCGGGCAGTTTATTATATTGGGGTGGCGACCCCCGAAGCCCTAGGCTGCAGTCAGGAGGGTGCAGCGAAGCGGAAGTGGCCACGATCAAGAAGGCCGTGGTCTCTCCGCGAGCTTCAGCATTTCCAGGTTGCCCGGGGCAGAGACGGGCTTGAAGAAGTGGACACCCTGGACCTGGACGCCTTCATCTTCAACTCGGCCGCGCCTCATCGGGCCGTGGCGGGCTTGCGGTGGGCTGCCAAGCAAGCGGAGCTCACCTGGAAGATTCCGGATGCACCCCGGACTGAGCAGCGCCGGAAGCCCAAGGACGAGCGGCAGGCCACATTGGCCGAGCCGCCGATGCTGGTTCACCTGGAGAAGGTTATTGAGGAGCGGTGCATTTTTGCGATGCTGGGGCAATGGATGCAGGCCTCCAGCTGCATGCGGTATGCCCACCTTCGCAGGAGCGAGGTCCTGCGCATCACGGGGTCGACCGTGCATGCTTTCTGCAACAAGGGCAAAGCGCCGCCTGCGGCAGGGTTTTTACTTTGCCATTCCGGCCGCCTTTGCTTCTGGATGGAACTGGACCGAGCCCTGGAAAGAAGCCTTCGAGGCCCTGCCCAAAGGCAGGCGGAGCCAGTGCGGGCTGTGCTTCGATGCTCGGGGCTTCTCGTGGTCCCTCAGGGAGTCTACCCTGGCTGTGCAGGCGGCTTTCACGGATGTGGTGGCCAATCCGGAGGAGCTGACCTCCTATAGCTGGCGCCGGTTGGGCCCTTCTGTGGCTATGCTGGCGCAGCTTTCGCCGGGCGAGAGTCGAACGCCCTTGGGGACTGGCAAGATCGCGTTTCGGACCAGAGGAGTGCCATGCCCGTCCACTACAGCGGGTTGCGCTACAAGGAAAGCGTCCGGGTCAAGCACCTGGTGTGGGCCTATATGGGGGAGTTGCGCCCCTATCCGACGTGGGATGCGGTGACCCCGCAGGACGTCGCGGAGCGCACGACTCTGGCCCAGTCCCTCTGCGAAACACAGGTCAGGGCTGACAAGGAGCTCCTTTGGCAGGGACCCGCCTTCGCCGCGCACAAGCCCAAGAAGTTTACCATGAGGTTGGCTGCCCCTCTTGCGCGAAGGTCTTTGGCCGGCCTTGCGAAGCTGCGGTCGAAGCGCAGGGCGGAGCCTAAGGCAGTGGCGAGCAGCTCGGCCCGGCCCAGCTCGGCTGCTGCGGAAGTGCCCGCACTGGCTCCCCCATGCCGCCTTATATTGGCCGTCACAAGACATCGCAGAACTTCAAGGACGGCGGCCGGCTGTGCGCCGGCTTCAACCTGGGTAACTGTCGGCGTGGATCCGACTGCCCTTTCCTCCACAGGTGCGCTGCCACCAAGCTCTCTACAGACAGAGTCTGCGGCGGGAAGCATGGCCCTGGATTGCCGCACAAAGAAATATGGCCTACCTCCCGGCTACGTCGTTCCCGGACAATCGCCAGAGCCGGCACCTGCTTCCCGACGGCGTTCGGCCGATGCCGGCGAGACTCCAGAAGGAGGGTGGCGACAAGTGGTGACGTGGCTCCCCCGCTTCTTCTGGCTTCGCCTTGCGGGGCGTTACATTGGCGGGCAGGAGCAGGTGTGGGGCACCGGCGCGAGGCATCGGCTCCGGCACGCCACGGCAGCAGCGACAGGCTCCGAGGGCCGGGGCTCAGGCAGCTCCCCTGCCCCGAAAACCAAAGCCATGCCCAAGGCCTTCAGGACCCCGCCGGCGCCGGACCCCACAGCGGCTGAGAACCAGGCGGTCTTCGACAATTTGGCAGGCAGGCGCCCAGTCCAGCGCCCCACCTGTATTTGGGAATCGCCGGCAGGAGGGCGTCTTTTCCTGTCCGGCTTGCCGCTGCGGGAAACCAGTGGCCAATTCCCGACGATCCATTTGCAAATTACTTGTATGGATCGAACCCCGGAACAACGGGGGGGCATAACCCTGTGCAGCCGGAACCTGCTGTTCAACGTCTCGGCCAGGCAGTCCAGGGAGGAAGAGTGGCTCCGCATCTTCAGTGAAGTTGCACACACGCTTTTGGCTGGCCACAATGTATTACTTCACTGTATGGCGGGCCGGCACAGAGCTGCGACTACCTGCGTCGCATGCCGGGCGGTGCTGGCAGGCGAGACCCAGGAGGAGGCGACCCAGGCGATCCTGAGGGTGAGACAGGTCGAGGTGGGTCGTGCTATCCAGCAAGATCGCAGCCTGGGTCTGTGGTTGGCTGGGGCCGTGCGTAACACACGTGTCCCCCCAACACCGGTGCAGCCACGCGGATACATCGCCACTGCGAGCTCGCACCTTCACCTCGAGTCCCCGGAGGAAGGCGTTCCCATCTGCAAGCACAAGCAGGGTATCGAGAGGCGCCGGTTGGCCAACCCGCAGCGCACGACTAGCAAGCTAGAGGCCATTGGATGGGAGCGACCCATCTGTGAGGGCTGCTTTTCACGAGCATCCTCCAAGTATTTTCCGGTATAGGCACCTCGACGAAGCGAGGCTTTCGCCACGATATGCCGGTAATTCGAAGTCGACCAGTTCGCCACCAGCAAATCTATTTTGCGGGTGCCGCATAAGAGCCCGTGTGCCCGCCGTGGCTGGTACCGTATCTTAGCAAGAGGAGCGCGAAAAAGAGGGTTTGCGGGCGCAGAGTGTAGGAGCAGTGGCTGTGGTGATGCAGTCGTGACTGAGAGCCTGCACCTTGTCCCCAGCCCCCCCCTCTTTTCCCTGCTTTGCTGCCTGCTGCTCTCCTCTTCCTCTCTCTCTCTTTTCTTCTCGGTCCGGTCAGTTGGTCCTCGCCTTGCTCGAAGGTACCGCAACCTCGGAGCTGACCGAGGGGATCGCGGAGGCTGGCGATAGGCTGGGAGTTTGACCCTCGCGCAGGCTCTTTCGGGGGGTCGACCTCGACGTAGGCCCCATGTCGTCAGTTTCGCTTGTCCCTCGAGTGGAGCAGGACATTAAGGCGAGCATGGATAGCCTGCAGATGAATTTCGGTTTGGACGCCAAGGTGGTCACAGAAGTGCTCGGCACTGGGATTCGCCACCTCGAGGAGTTTCGCTTCTTGTTCGAGAATGAGGCAGCCATAGGTACCTGGGTGGGGAAGTTGGGCCTAGGGGATGCCACTATGTTGCAGACCGCCCGCCTTCGCAGGGCGTGGAAGGCAACATGCACATACTACACCCAGGCGGAGCAAGACCGTTCTAAGGTCGCCTTGGCCGACCTCGACTCGATTTTGGCAGACTCCGAACTTCGCACGTTGAAGGAAGCCTTTTGGATTCGCTACAAGTTGCGCTTTCCTGCCGAAGTGCAACCCTCCGACGCCACAGTATCCCGCATTTCTCGGGAACTCTCCAAAAGGATGCTCTGTATATATGACGTATGGCGAGTGCGATCCCTACAATTCCAATTAGGCACCTCGCAAAAGCGGCGCAAGCTGGCAGACGGCCTCTATACCGATGAGCCTGAAGTCGACGAGGTCGTCGCTCGGGATGTGGACACGTACCTTCACAAGCTCCACACGCTTATGATCGCCTACGCGCTCAACGGGGTGCAGGTGATCGCGGGAGTTGACCCGGCGGGAGAGAAAGCGCTGGGCGCTAACTCTTGCCAGTTCGTCGAGGTGCCTTTGGATTGTGTGCTGGCATACTACTACCGAGCCCGCAAGGCCGCAATGCAAGTCGCTCCCGCGCAGCGGCTGAGTTGGCTTCAGCATCGGGACGCCGAGGAGCGAGCGGAGTGGGTCTCGCGATTCCGGGAGGGGACCCGGACACTCGGAGCAGTTATTAAAGAGGTTATGGAGGCACGAGACGCCCACTGGTTGGCGCCAGCGCTGCCGGAAGCAGGGCCAGTTGCGCCGAAGCCCCAGCCAGTGATCACTGAGCCAACCAAGTCTTCCTTGTTCGTGTCGGGCCCCATGGTGGGAGGTAAACCCACGGCCCGCGTCATGAAAGATGGCACGAAGCTTTGCGGTGACTACCAGAAAGGGTCCTGCAAGCATTCACCCCCGTGCCCGAATGGGGCCCATCGCTGCGCCGTGGTTCTCCGGGCCGAGCGCGTCTGTGGTGCGCCCAACCATGGGGCGGCGAAGTGCAAGGCCAAGGCAAAAGCGAGGAGTTCGTGATGGGGCCCTGGCCCAGCAGTGGGGGATGCTGAGCCCGGGGTCGCGGACTCCCCCTTTGCAGGGGAGTTGACCCCTTGCATGGTGATGCTTCACCGCGAAGACATTACTTTGGGCCGGGCTTTTCGGTGCTGCGGTTGGAGAGTCTTGGTCGCCGATCGCTTGACCCAAGAGGCCGATTGCATATGGACGGGGCTGGCGGCGCCTCCGCCTTTCTCGCCGGACTCCTTCGAGCAGCTGTTGCAAGGCTGTGCCTCCAGGGGGGCTGCCGTTGTTCAGGAGGGGGTTCCTCCAGAAACAGGCTCGGCCAGCAGTCCTTCAGCGGTTTGGCTCGATCTTTGGTATGACTCCTGCGTGCACAAGCATACTAGACTCCTTCGACACAACGTTGCCGAGCTCCAGCAGTGGCCTTCGGTTCGCTGCCACCACCGCCACCTGCCTCAGGGGAGTGACCCATCCCTCCGGCGATCTGGTTAACAGTCCTCCTTTCACTCTCTTTCCCCAAACAAGGGCTTCGCTGGGATGGCGCGTTGGGCCCTTCTCTCTCTGACCCCGCCTGCAGGTTGATGCACAGCGGAGGGTCAGCAAGCGGGGGCGCTTTCAGGGAGGGCGGCGCTCCCCCCCCTTTGGCCTGTCCCCGGATGAGCACTTCCGGCAGGCTTTGGCTAGGGGGGACGACCCCTTGCCTACGGAACACCCTCCGGTCTTGGGCCAAGACCTCCATTTTGCGGCAGCGATGACTGTCGGGTCTCTTGGCCGCCTTCGCGAGTTGAGGCGCGAGTGCGTCGGCCCGCTTCGGATGAAGCGCCGTTGGAGCCATGTGGGGGACCACCTGCGTAAGCTCCAGACCCCGGCGGTCCGGAAGGTCACGGCCCAGCGGGACCTGGGCTTGCTCAGTCTCTTCATCGTTCTGTTGTCTTGGTCGGACACCACTCTCCCTTCACACCTTTTGTTCGGCATGCCCGCGGTCGGTACCTCTCTCCCCTGCGGAGTCTTCCCACAGCAGAGCTTCGACACAATTCCTCTCCACCGGCTTTTCGAGAACGTGGACTCCCGCAACAAAGCTGTCCAAGGCTCTATTCGGCCAGGCCCACACGATGACTTTTTGTTGGAACAATCTACCAAGGACTTCGAGGCGGGCTTTTGTTCGGCACCGTTGTCCTGGTCGGAGCTCCTTCGCCACACCAAGGGCAAACTGATTCGTTTGATACCAAGGTGCGTTATTTCTCAGGCTTCCGGGAAGCAGTGGAGGACAGAGCGAGCTCAGCTTTGACTCTAACAAGTTGGTGTTATGCTCAGCCCTCCGCCCGGCCCAGCATGTTTCCCTGGCAGTGCGATGCGCCAGCCCGGCGGTCGCCCGCCGCCTGCTGGAGGAAGACCAGTGGGAAGGCGGCGGCGAAGACTGGCCGGACGCCTATCGCCATTGCCCTATGGACGAGGACCAGTCCAGGGCCTGCGTGGTGGTATGGTACCACAAGGATTGGGCCCAGCCGGCGTACCAGGTATATTCGGGTCTTCTCTTCGGGCTCCCTTTGGCAGTGACCAGCTTCAATCGGCTCAGCCGTTTCTCCGAGGCGGTGGGCCGCCGGCTCGTCTGTGTCCTGGTCTCTATGTATTTCGATGATGCGCACCTCACAGACCCGGCTTCTGCGAAGGGCTCAGCCCAGTTCGCCTTCTCCGAGGTCAACAAACTTTTGGGCTCCCCCTTCGCGGAGGCTAAGCGACAGCCGATGAGCACAGTCGGCGACTTTCTCGGGCTGGAGTGGGATTTCCGCGACGTGGGGCGTCACCACGTCGTAAGGTTCCAGGCCAAGGTCGAGGGCCTTTTGTTGCAGGCTGAGCAGAACAATTGCCTGCCGCCAGGCTTGGCGTCGAAGCTGTATGGCATGCTCAATTTTCTCGAACAGGGAGTGTATGGCCGTATTGGCACGGGGGGCATCGGCGCCCTCAAGGAACGCCAGTATGAGACAGCTCGGGAGTTGACCCCAGCTATCCGCTCGTCATTCGAGGTTATCCGAGCCATCTTGGCACTGCGGCCGCGTCGGTCCGTGGAGGTGCTCCCCTCCCCCTGTGCCCGATTCGTCGCAGCTAGCGACGCCGCGCGGAGGACGAACCGCGCAAGGGCACGGGCGGTTTCCTGTTGCTCTGGCCGGGCAGTAAGCCTGGCCGCGAAGCTTTCGTGGCACAGGTCGATCGGCATACGTACGATGCCTTTCTCCCAGGTGAGGTTAAAATCGCGCAGCTCGAGCTATCAATGGTCCTCTTCGCCCTCACAGCCCGGGCCTCTACCTTTCGTTCTCGTCGTGGCACATGGTATATTGACAACGTGGCCGCACTTATGGCACTCGTTCGAGGGCGTTCCGATTCTCCTGACCTCGAGCGGCTGGCACACCTCATTCATGTGGCCCTCTTCTCTCTCCAAGTTTGGGTTTACTGGGAGTGGGTACCCAGTAAGTCCAACTGGTCCGACTCGATCAGTCGATTGGGTGCGTCGGACCCGTGGGCTGCTTCTCGCGGCTTCTGCCTTCACCACGCTCTTTTTCCTACCGAGGTGTGGTCTCTGCCTCTGGTGCCGGCCATGCTGGTGTTTCAGTTTCTGTAGAAGTGCTTTGGGATTAGTGCATTGGGATATCGAACCGTGTTGGTTCGGGGTGGGGCTTGCAACCCGGAGTCGACCCGGGTTTTGCTAGCCTCATTCATCCGGATTTTTACCAAAGCATTTCCCGTAGTAACGGGTTCTACAGACTGGGACGGCACTGGCGATGTGAAAAGAGTTGTGTGTGTAGTAGCCTCTGTGATTCGATTTGCGGATGTATGCCATGTGTAGAGTTTGGCAGGCTTGGGTGCACATGTATCATCTGCGATCGATATCATGCCTTTTGGTTCAAGCCTTGGCAGTTGAGCCAAAAAGGCAGGATTTTGTTGCCCGCCCTCCCTCCCTTTTACTGAGACGATCCCCCGTGGGGCTATCCTCTCTCTTAGGGTGGGCAGCGAGAGTTTTCTCGACTGCATTCGGAGGGGATATCGAACCGTGTTGGTTCGGGGTGGGGCTTGCAACCCGGAGTCGACCCGGGTTTTGCTAGCCTCATTCATCCGGATGTTTTACCAAAGCATTTCCCGTAGTAACGGGTTCTACAGACTGGGACGGCACTGGCGATGTGAAAAGAGTTGTGTGTGCAGTAGCCTCTGTGATTCGATTTGCGGATGAATTGAGTCAGGTTGTGATGATATTTGTGAAATGCGCACAGATTGCAGGGAAGGCCTTACCAACTAACTTACATTAAATTCATTCATTTGATGCCACGTACCCGCACCACAGTCGAATTAAATTCGACTACCGCTCTTGTCATGGCCGACCCGACGTTCGGCTCTTGCGCCAAGCTGTTGGCCAAGTCCAGCAGAAGGTACACAATGTCGGGGGCAGAAGTATCCGCTGCGAACTCTGGGATGGACAGGATGCATGACATGGCCTCGACTCCACGACGACGAGTTGCTGCTTCTTTGCGAGCAGAGGGCGGCATAAGCATAGCGCGGGCAAATGCTTGCAGCTGCTAGTGGTCGTTGAGAGCCTTCGCCTGATATCCCCATGGCAGAGCGGGGTGACCCCATATCTCGGCCGAATGGGGGTGGCCTAAGTCTCCGGTCCGCATGACTGTCAGAGCACGTTCGTCTTTGCAAAGACGCCGGGGAGGCCGTTACAGAAAGGGATGCTTAAGTCAGGTTGTGCATTTAATATTTATGAAAGGCAGAGTGCCAGTAAAACTTCTAAGGGTTCAGGGTTTAGTGGTTTGCTGCGCTTGCTGTTGATCAGAAAATCCTTGTCGATTCGCTTGCCGGCATGTGGAGGCATGTGTGTGGCCGCTACCCAGGACTCGCTGTGTCTCGCACAGGGCTCTGAGGGAAGAACGTAGTGCAGGGCAACTTATAGTCGCACACCATTAGCCGGGGTCACTTCCCTGAGGGTTCGCTAGTGCAGGGCAGCTTGTAGTTCACACCGTTAGCCGGGTGTGGCGGGCCGCTGTTTGGGATTTTCGGGCTCTTGAGGCCAACGGGGATCTGCTGACCAGATCCCTATGACAGCAGGACACATGGGCTAACGTGCCTGCTGGGAGCCCCCCATTTATGTCTCTGCACGCTCCGGCTAGCCAGTAGTCAGTGCGAGATGATGACCCACTCGGTGGCAGCAGGGGAGGCTCTTGAACTGTTGATCGACCGAGTGCGCAACATGGAAGGCCGAATCGAGTGAGTAGTCATTAAGTGTCAGGTTGTGATCAAATTTATGAAAGGCAGAGTGCCAAAGGCAGAGTGCCAGTAAAACTTCTAAGGGTTTTTTAGTAGGGTTTAGTGGTTTGCTGTGCTTGCTTTTGATCATAAACGTCCTTGTCGATTCGCTTGCCCGACCTAAACCTGAGCAGCGGGCTGGCCGAGGGGGCCCTAGAGACCTGCCAGGTTCCATCTTGTTGGCCGTGTTGGGGGCAGCGATCCATCCGGAGCTGAAAGCTTGGCCACTGACGCCTGCGTGGCCTCGTGGCGGCCACCCTTGGGGCCAACTCCCCTACAGCCCGAGGGGTATGACAGCAGGGCGATGCGCTAATGCGCCTGCTGGGGGTGGCTTAAATGGGGGGCCGGTGCGTCCGTACCCCCCCGGTGAGATCCTAAAAGGGAGGCCGCTTGAGTTGTGTTGTAAAGAGAAGGGTGAGATAGTGCCTTCTTCAGTTCTTGCCTGTGCTCACTTTTGCGCGCAAGTGGCCCTGGGATCAGGTCTATCGTTGATCGTTTGGCATGGCCTGTAACTGTAGTGGCAGCATAGCATCCTGCTGTAAGTTACCACTACCCCAGCCGCCAGCTGTGCCTTGAGCCTGCTACTCACGGTGGTGATGTTAGCCTGTGCCTGGTTTGTTTCTATCGGCGCGTTGCGGGCGATGTTTACGCCGAAGCAAACCAAGTCTCCGGGATCTGTTACATCGCAGGTGTGCCAATGGCCTGCTGAGCAACAGCTGCGA